CGGTGAAGCTGGTCACATGGTACGTTCCTGCCCACAGAAACTGAGTAAGTTCATCTCAGCTTCTTTATCTATTGGCAATATGAATCCGTCCTAATACTTAGTTGTGCCCCTCTCCTTTCACTTTCAGAAAGGACCGTGGAGGTGACGGCCATAGTTGATTCGGGGGCATGCAGCTGTTTTGTGGATATCAATTTTGCTCACCGGCAGGGTATCCCCCTCCATCCAAAGGAGAAAGGGTTTCACATCTTTTTGGCTGATGGCTCCCGGATAAAGTCAGGGGTGGTTAACCAGGAGACCCCTTCCATTGTTACTTCCATTGCCGGCCAACACCGGGAGCTCCTCCGCCTGGATGCTATTGCATCACCCCTTTTCCCAGTCATTCTGGGGCTCCCATGGTTGCGGACCCATAACCCCCAAATTGACTGGGAGACTGGGGTTGTCTCGTTCCCTTCCCCATACTGTCGGGAACTGTGCCGAACTTCGGGCCCGGAGGTCCCCCAGGTCCTCCTGTGCTCTGAAGGGGATGCCAGCCTAAAACAAGTGATTCCTGCAGCCTATCATGAGTTTCTCTATGTGTTCAGTGAACGGGGAGCAGATACTCTACCCCCCCACCGCCCGTATGACTGTCCTATTGACCTGTTACCTGGTTCAGAAATTCCCTTTGGGCGAATTTTTCCCCTTTCTGAGCTGGAATTAGGGGCCCTGAAGGACTATATTGAGGACAGCCTCCGGAAGGGATTCATCCGTCCCTCCACTTCCCCAGCAGGTGCAGGGATCTTTTTTGTAGAAAAAAAGGATAAGACTTTAAGGCCATGTATTGACTATCGGGAACTGAATAGGGTCACAATCAAGAATCGTTACCCATTACCACTGGTACCGGAATTATTATAGAGCTTAAAGGCTGCAGTAGTATTTACCAAGCTGGACTTAAGGGGAGCCTACAACTTGGTTCGCATAAGGGAGGGGGATGAGTGGAAAACGGCCTTCCGCACCCGTTTCGGCCATTTCGAATACCTGGTCATGCCTTTTGGGTTGTGCAATGCACCGGCCACCTTCCAGCACTTTGTAAACGACATCTTTAGGGACTTCCTGGATATCTTTGTCATCGTTTACTTAGACGACATTTTGATTTTCTCATCCTCCCTGGGGGAGCACAGGGTACATGTAGCAAAGGTGTTGGGGCGGTTGCGGCAGCATGGGTTGTACGCTAAAGCAGAGAAATGTTGCTTTGAACAGGCTACCATTACATTTCTGGGTCTGATTATCTCCACCGCGGGGGTCGCAATGGACCCTCAGAAAGTCTCTGCGATCCTAGATTGGCCTGAACCCACGGACAGGAAAAGCGTCCAACGATTCATTGGGTTCGCAAACTTCTACCGGAAGTTCATCAAGAACTTCTCGGGTCTGGTCTCCCCCATCACTCAGTTAACCAAGCTTGGGACACGATTCAGATGGACGCCAGAGGCACAGGAAGCTTTTGAAGCATTAAAGAAGTTATTCACCTCGGCACCCATTCTGGGTCACCCTGACGCCTCCCTACCCTACATCTTAGAAGTTGATGCGTCAGAGAACGCGGTTGGCTCCATTCTTTCCCAGCGAAAGGATGCCAAGGAATCACTTCACCCAGTAGCATTCTTCTCACGGAAACGTACCCCTGCGGAGAAGAATTATGACATCGGCGATCGAGAACTACTGGCTATCAAGACCGCATTAGAGGAATGGAGGTAACTGCTGGAAGGTGCCTCACACCCCATCCTGATATTCACAGACCACAAGAACCTGGAATATCTGAGGACCGCCAAACGTTTGCGCCCACGACAAGCGAGATGGGCATTGTTTTTCTCGAGGTTCCATTTCCATATCACATACAGGCCGGGATCAAAAAACACGAAGCCAGACGCATTGTCGCGCATGTACGAGGATGCCAAGGAGCTCCCAGTACCGGACACTATTCTGCCTGCAGGAAACTTCTTGGCCCTCCAGACGAACCTTCGCTCCGAGATAATGAGAGCATCCACAGCCATGTCTACCCCAGATGGGGCGCCCCTCCAGAACAAGGGGGGACTCCTATGGAGGGAGGACCGGATTGTGGTGCCGGAGGAAGCCCGAACCCTAGTCTTGGGACATTGCCACGACCACCCGATGGCAGGACATTTTGGCCCGGTCAAGACCCTGGAACTTCTCCGACGTTCCTTCTATTGGCCAGACATGGCCAAGGATTGTAAGAGCTACGTGGGCTCCTGTGTCATCTGCCAGCGGAACAAGCCTTCAAGGAATAAGGCGTGGGGTCTGCTACGTCCATCACCCATCCCTGAACGGCCTTGGCAGAAGATCTCTATGGACTTCATAGTCGAGCTTCCCACCTTCACTTGACCACACAGCAATTCTCGTGGTTGTGGACCGTTTATCCAAGATGGCCCATTTTATACCATTACGGAAGACTCCATCGGCAGCCGAGATGGCGCACGTTTTTATTCGAGAGGTTGTAAGACTGCATGGGGTCCCTGAAGACATCGTCTCGGACCGAGGGGTGCAATTTACCTCGAGATTTTGGAGGGCATTGTGCAAAGCCCTGGATATCAAACTATCCCTTTCCTCTGCATTTCACCCTCAGACCAATGGACAGACTGAAAGGACCAATCAGACCCTGGAGCAATACTTGCGATGCTACACATCTTTTACTCAGGACGATTGGGTACCACTTCTCCCTCTGGCGGAATTCGCGTATAACAACGCTTGCCATTCAGCAACAGGGCAGTCCCCGTTCTTCTCCAACTATGGGTTTCACCCTGTCTTCCTCCCGGATTTGGTCCCGGAGTGCCCAATCCCAGCAACACAGGATGCACTAACTTTTTTCTCTTCAAACAATAAGAAACTACAGGAAGCCATCAGTCAGGCCCAAGAAGATTACAAAAGGGCTTTTAATAGGAAACGAAGAGGAGATCTGGTGTTGCGGCCCGGAGAGAAGGTTTGGCTGGCTACCTCTAACTTGAAGATGCTCTGCCCTTCAAAAAAGTTGGGACCTAAATTTATAGGCCCTTTTTGCATTAAGCGGATGGTCAATGAAGTGGCCTATGAACTTGTTCTCCCTGAGACACTCAAGATCCACCCAGTCTTCCACGTGTCCCTGCTGAAGCCGGTAGTCCCTGATGCCTTCCCGGAACGGGAATCCAGGCCCCCGGAAGCCGTAACAGTCGAAGAGGAAGAAGAATTTGAGGTGGAATCAATCCTGAAGTGCCGACGAATGGGGGGCCAGACCCAATTTCTTATCAAGTGGAAGGGCTACGGCCCTGAGGACAATTCTTGGGAACCAGCCCATAATGTCCATGCACCCAGACTTGTCCGGAGGTTTCTTTGTGACCACCCGTGGTGGAGAGATCGGGTGGGCATCCGGAGGTTGCCCATAAGGGGGGGGGCAATGTCAGGGATCCCCTCGATCCCCGCCGCGATGGTCCCGGCGCAGGCGCAGTGCACCGCCCTGTGCAGGGACACGGGCACTAGGTCCGGGCCGGCCGCGGCGTTCGAGTTTGCGCATGCGCAGTAGAAGCCGCGGCCACCCGCTGGGCACCAATGGCAGTGCAGGGCGGGATATTTAAATGTCCCTGAGCTGTCATTTCAGTGCCTTCTGGTCTTACCTGTATCCTGTGATTCTGAACCTGTGCCTAAGTAAGTTATTGATCCGGATTGCTCTTGACCTGCTGATTTCTCCTGCCCAGACCTTTGCTTTGCCTGACCTCTCTTTCTGAATGCCCCTCATTAGTTCTGACCTACTGTTGCTGACCTGGCGTGTGACCCGACGATTCTCTGCCCGCTCCCTTGTACCATACTGTCCTCTCCGTTACCAACTCGCCCATCTGACTTCGCACTTGCTCAGCCATCCATCCATCCATCCATCCCATTGGGGTCACCCGACCTCCTCACATCTGGCTCTCCCTGGTTGGAGCCCCTGGCGAACACCCCTACCACTGACAGGTGTGCTCAGTAGTGGCGACCTGGTCCCGGGGTACTCCAAGTCCATCCCCACCATCAGGGGCTCTGGTGAACAAGTACCCTGGGGCTTAGACTCCGCGCTCTGGGCACGCCTGACCAGTGGAGTGCTAGTGGTGCCGCTCGGCGGTCCCTCACACCTTATGACTAAGCACTTTAGAGCAAAGTGCACCAAAGTATAATCCATATTACTGTTTAAAAATAAACCTCCGATGGTTGGACAGATCTGCATGATCGTCTTTTGTGAGTTGGACTTTGCAGTCTAGCAGGCATGTGGTGTCAGGGACACATTGGAGATGGATGTGGTCTGCATCACTGATTGGTGGCATGTTTGACTCTACTTGAGCCAAAGAAAAGGCCTTAGACTAGGATTTTAGCAGGTCCTGGCACACTCATACAAGAAATGGTAGTTATCTCTTGTTCTTTTGGATGAATCTCCCTGTCTGTGACCATCCTCAACAATGGATACAGTTGCTTTTTGTATTCTTAGATGTATACCTTAGTGAGCACTTATCCTTAAATTTTTTAAATGTGGCTCCTACTGTATGTATTAGAAAAAGGATGCATTGGCATTTGCCAGCCTGTATAGGCAGTGCACTGACTAAAATATGACTCCCCGATACTGCACAGAAGGGATATCATCTTGATAAAGACAAGCAGAGCAGGATTGGTGAAGGTCCATTTTGTTTTAGCTACAAGCCTTTCTCCCAGTAGTAGCTATTTTTTTCAGTTAATCTCAGTTTGAAAAGGGTAAGGGCATGCAAGTGATCTAATAATCCTTTAATGTAAAGGAGCCTGTCCACTTTGGGCTGGATTTAAAATGTCAGCTGGTATAGAGCAATGGTGTAAGAAAAAAATATTAGGGGTATTCAAGTCAAACCGGGACTTTTAATTTTACAGGGATAAAAACGGATGCTAGTGTAGCAGTACTACACGCAGTAGTAAGTGGCAAGTGTCCTATTACTGATAGGTGACGCACATGTCACGGGCCAGTCCAGAGACCGTTAATCAAGATGGCAGACAACAGTGTTAGTGCGTGCATGGAACAGCATGTGGTGATGAAGCTTCTTGTGAACGAAGGCATAAAACCCGCAGATATCTACAGAAGACTTCAAGCACAGTACGATGATGACCCGCTCAGCTACAATAAGATATTTGAATGGTGTAAACGTTTCAAAGATGGCCATACGTCTGTCAGTGACGATCCCAGCCGTGGTGGTTCCCAGCCCACAGCAGTCATTCCTGTGAGTTTTAAGTGTGTGGAACAACTGTTCATGGATAATTGATGCATAACCTGTCGCGAAATTGCACAAGAGATGAATCTTTCTGTGGGAACGATGAGCAAAATGATGGCGAATTGAAGCAGGCTTTCCTAGGATGATTCAGGAGTACTGACAAATTTTCTATGCCGAAGCTTTCCAGGCATTAGTTAAATGCTGGGTTAAGTGTATAAATGTAGCAGGGGAGTATGTTGAAAAATAACTGCCGTTTCCACTCCTTATTTGTGTTCTTTTATGATATAAACTCAAAAGTCTTGCTTCAAATTGAATGCCCCTGGCAGCGTTGCACAGTTTAAACTTTAGCAAAAAAAATATTTACCATATATAATTTTTATACTATGTTTTTTTTTTTAATTTCAAATAACTTAAAATTGTTGACTATCATTTCCTGGTAAATTAAAGTGTGAACTCATCAACAGTGAATTGTTTGGAATTCAGGTGGCCAGCCTGCACTGCATTTGAGGAATGAAAGGAGAAAGGAATTTAGGGGCATCTGACATGATGTAGGCTGCCGCCTTGTTTTTACAGGTGTTTCAGTTATAATCCTTTCTTTGTAGAAGAATAGAGACGGATAAATCCTTGTATTATCCAAAAAGATAAGACGAAACACATGAAGGCAGTCAGCCATGTTTCAAAGCAAGTATTGCCCCTCATCTGTTCCCTGGTTATAAGACATACAGACATACAGTATTTTAAGATCTCCTGTTGGATGAAATACATATATTACTTGAACATGAGGGAGCAACTAGTTTGTAAGCCAGTACCTAGGGAAAAAGTAACCTGCAGGTCAGGATGTCCTGCCCCCAGGCCCATTTATCCATGCTTCTCAGGTGGGCAACCTGCTACAGTGGTGATTTGGCTGGTATATATTGCTCCTGGGGGGGGGTTTAAAAGACTATGTATACTACTGCTAATGGGGTGGCAGGTTTAGGAAAAATATGTACAGTATACAGTATATTCATCATCAGTGGTGAGAGTTGCATTAGTCAGATTAAAGCCACATTGTTACTGTTTTTTAACTTATTGGAGGTAGCCCCTAAATTTTGTTAAGATTGTTTTTAGGTCTACCTAACATCCTTGAAAATATAGTGTCTATAGCCATCATCTCCCTAAAAAAAATGCTTACATCATAGTTTTTACACAACACTGGATTGTACTATGGGAGCTGATTTTTTTTCTTATCCTGCTTCAGAAACTGTCTATTTGATTGCTATGGACTGTGCTTATCATGTGTTAAAATACTCTTTTGTTTTATTTATTTATTCAGTTAGTTTTGATTTAAGTAGGAAATTAGATACAGGTGCACCTCGGTTTACGCATTTAATGCGTTCTCCGGGACATTTCGTACTGCGAAAAATTTGTAAACCGAAATGCGATTTCTTATAGGAATGCATTGAAAACCAATTAATGCATTCCGGAGGTCAGAAAAAAGTAAAAAAAAAAAAGTCGCTGTCACTATAGGTCAGTGCTGGTTTTGAAATGTAATTTTTTCTTCACTATAGCTCAGAGAATCAGCTGTCCCCCAGGCTAAAAGAAAGAAAGTTTCCTTTTAGTTTATTTCCCTTAGTTAAAAGAAACAATGTTTTGTTTAGTTTGTGTTCCGAAATAAAAGAAACAAAGTATCCTTTAGCTCCGAGGAAAGTGACAGCTAATTCTGTGAGCTATAGTGAAGAAAAAAAAAAGCCGGCAATTGCATTTAAAAATCAGCACCGACATACACTTCGTATTGCGAAAAACATTGTAAAAATGTATAAACCAAGGCATTATTTTCAAATGATTTTCATTCATAAACCGAAAATTACGTTAATCGAGGCGTTCGTAAACCGAGGTACACCTGCACTTTGTCAAAATGTATTTGTTGCCTTTGTTGACATTTGGGAGATTTCTACCCACTTCCTGTTTTTCTGACATCCCAGAGAATTGGTGATTTGAACTTCCTGTTTCAATTATCTAAAGTATTTTTCATGTTTCCAAAACATATTATGTAAGCAAACCACATTTAAGTCTTTAAAAAATAATGTACGGGAAATGCACTCCAAAGAGTGGAAAGAAAAAGTTTAACTAACAGCAATGCTTCTTGGATATCACTGTAATAAGAAGAGGGGGAAAATCAAAGTACAATACAATTCTTGCAGAGGATCATGTCTTCCAGAACCAAATAAACAATCAAAAAAGCCCACACTGTTTTAGCTAAGTTTTAAGCCTCCCAGTTTCCACGTTCCTATAGTAAGGGATTCAATGTGAGCATGTGTATAAGTTGCCCTATTCTGATTGATGAGTTTATGGGTTTTTACCTTTGCTTAACTCTTTATATTTTTTCCTTCCTTAAGTAAAAAGTAGGAAAATTACTAACATTTATCAGCAAAGTACCATTTTCTATTTCATGCATATTTCATATGGAAGGTCTAATCTGGCTGGAAACTAGGCATAGAAATACAATTTCAATTGATAACATCACTGATCATGTCTGATACGATAAAGCTAACATCTTTCTCATACAATATATCTTAACAGATATCTCTTAGATTGTAAGCTCCAAGGAGCAGGGCCCTCCTAACCCTCTTGTATTGAACTGTATTGTTGCTGTATTGTCTCCTGTTATATTGTAAAGTGCTGAGCATTGGCACTATATAAATCCTGTATAATAATAATAATCTCTTAGATTGTAAACTCCAAGGAGCAGGGCCCTCCTAACCCTCTTGTATTGAACTGTATTGTTGCTGTATTGTCTCCTGTTATATTGTAAAGCGCTGAGCAAACTGTTGACACTATATAAATCCTGTAATAATAATAATAATAATAATAATAACATAGTCATTTTTAATCTTGGGGAATGTGGATGTTTAAAATTGAAAACTAGAAGGTATCACTGTTGTATGAATCATTATTATTATTATTATACAGTATTTATATAGCGCCAAAAGGTTTGCTCAGCGCTGTACATTATAGTGGGGGACAGTACATGAGACAATACAGTAACAAGACAATACACGAGGGGTTCGAGGGCCCTGCTCTTTTGAACTTACAATCTAGGAGGGAGGGGATAGTGGTACAGGAGGAAGTGGCTGTGGGGGATGGAGTTGTAGGAGGAGATCGGCTGTTAGGTGAGGGCAGGGTAGGCTTCCCTGAAGAGATGGGTTTTCAAGGTTTTCAGGGTGCGCCTAAAGGTGAGGAGGGTAGGTGACAGTCTGATGGATTGGGGTAGTGAGTTCCAGAGGATGGGGGAAGTCCTGGAGAAGTCCTGCAGTCGGGCGTGGGAGGAGGAGACCAGGGAGCTAGAAAGTAGGAGGTCTTGTGAGGAGCGAAGAGTACGGGTTGGGTGGTATTTGGGTATCAGGTCGGTGAGGTAGTTTGGGGCAGCGTTATGAATGGTTTTGTATGTCAATATTAGTAGTTTGAATTTAATGCGTTGGGCAATCTGAAGCCAGTGGAGGAGAATGGCAGAGGGGGGTGGCAGAAGCGGAGCGGTTGGTAAGGTGGATGAGTCTGGCTGCTGAGTTCAGGATAGACTGAATCGGGGATAGCCTGCGTTGGGGTAGGCCAGTGAGGAGGGAGTTGCAGTAGTCGAGTCGTGAGATAATAAGGGAGTAAAAAAGTTGTTTAGTAGTGTCTGGGGTTAGGAAAGTACGTATTTTGGAGATGTTGCGGAGGTGGAGCCAGCATGAGTTTGCCAACGATTGGACATGGGGTTGGAAGGACAGGTTTGAATCTAGAGTGACACCTAGGACTGTGGCTTGCGGGGTGGGACTGATGGTGGCGTTGTTGGTCGTGATGGATGGATGGAGGATGGGGGGGGGCGCGGGCTGGGGGGAAAATTAGGAGCTCGGTTTTGGAAAGGTTAAGTTTGAGGAAATGGAGCGACATCCAGTCTGATATGTCGTTCAGTAGGTGGGTGATACGGGCGGAGACTGAAGGGGTGAGGTGAGGGGTGGAGAGGTAAATTTGCGTGTCATCGGCGTAGCGGTGATAGTTGAAGCGTTGGAGTGTATCAGTTTGCCGAGGGAGGATGTGTAGATGGAGAAGAGAAGGGGCCTGAGGACAGAGCCTTGGGGGACCCCAATATAGTTAATATATTAATTAGTCAATTTATCCTAAGGACGCGGCACCTAATTAATCATATTTGCCAATGGTTAGATTTTACTCCTTTCGGTGACTGTATAGTCTTTTACACTTCTTTTTAGATTATTGGGTTAAAACATAAGCTTGATGTAAAAATGTTATCAGTGTTTGTTAATATTTACATTTTTTTATGTATGTTTGTTATTATATATGTATATGGCTTCTTTGCTTTGTGTTTTGCAGTGCTACACAATAGTTATGCTTTACTGCCTCTTCACAAAATGCAAGTCTGTTATTTGGCTGAGTCATTGAAAACTAGTTTGAATTAGGCTGAATCTTTGGATTGACTAATCTACAAATCTCTGCATTATTACAATGACACATACTGCATATGGAACAAAAACACATATGTGGGAGAGGAAGTATTTAAAAATGCATTCACCACCAAAACTGATTTGTTACCTAAAGTACATGTGCCCATATTATGTACATTAATGTCTTATAACAAATCTAAATGCCTAAACACAATTTTGGAACTTTGATATGTGTTAGTAAAGCCGTACATATCATCACAACTACTTTGTGCATCCAGGTGGAATATACAGTGGATATAAAAAGTACACACCCCTGTTAAAATGTGAGGTTTCTGTGATGCAAAAAAAATGCGGCAAAAAAAATAAATCATTTCATAACTTTTTCCGCCTTTAATGTGACCTATAAAATGTACAACTCATTTGAAAAACAAACTGAAATCTTTTTTTTTTTTGGGGGGGGGGGGGGGGGGGGGGTAAACATAAAAAAAACTAAAATAATATAGTTGCATAACTGTATGCACTCTCTTATAACTGGGGGATGTAGCAGTCACATTCAAAATCATGTTAATAGGAGTCAGTACACACCTGCCATCATTTGAAGTGTCTCTGATTAACCCCAAATTAAATTCAGCTGTTCTAGTAGGTCTTTCCTGACATTTTCTTAGTCGCATCCTACAGCAAAAGACATTGGCCACAA